GTGCTGCTATTTTCCCAGACTAGTCCGGTACCAATTTGCCGACCTCGAAGGAATGGAAAGCTGGGTGGGCTATGGTTGCGAGGATCGATTCCACGTGTGTTTGCAGAGCGCCTCCGACCATTGCACCACACGCGCCCGTCATATTTAGTCATATAGTGTATATATATATGTGTGAAAAAGTAAGCCAAGCTATATATCAAATATATAAGCCGCTACTACGTGCACAAAGGCATTAACGTAATTTTGCTAGAATGTCAAAATAGTAGAGCTAATAAAATAACTACATACGCCTTTAAAATTACTTGCAGTGACCTGTCGATGATCGAGCCAGTGCTACTTCCCTCCCAAGCAAGTCTGGTACCAGTTTGCTGACCCCGGAGTGATGGGAGGTTTGGTGAGCCATGAGCGCCGGTATCGATTCCATGTGTGTGTTGCAGGACGCCTCCGACTACTGGGTTACACCGATCCTTATGATAGGACAATCACTTTTAATTCACTGCCTACTCTTTTCCATGATATAGTGTGATGTGCAATACATCTGCAATGATGCCGAGATAATTGCAAAACTACGGACCGTAGGTGTCTGCGCTAGGGATCTGCAGTTAGAACACGGCTGACAGAATTTTGAAAATAAAGACTCGCATAGTGTGGTGGTGGAGACGTTAGTCCTGGAATGCGAAATAACGTCCTCGATCCCTACCCCAAACACCGATGATATCAAATACGACCTTCATAGTTTTAATCAATGCTCCTTGTCCCATAGAGCAATGCACCACTTTTATACTCCATGATTACAACTATCTGGTTTTCTTAGTTGTTTTTGAAAATTATTGTTGTTCTTTATTTAACATGACAGCTATAAAATACTTCTTGTTAGGTTAGAGGAACTGTTCTTGCCAAATTTGATTCTCTAGTAGCAAATGGAACTGAATAGAGAGAGTCATTTTGTGCCTACTGTTACATACATCGAGTTAGAGAACAAGGGTCCAGTAAAGTAACAGACACTCCCAGAGGTTCTTTTCAGAGCATCGTCAGCGAGTTAAAAATTAGACGGCTTCAGAAAAACTGACAAACCTTACATCGCTACCTGCGGACAATAATGGGACAAGATAAGAGGATGCACGACTTCATTACAATGATCAAAACCGCTCAAGTAAACGAAAAATCCTGAAACCTTTCCTTTTCAAGACGGACGTGGAGCCTCACAGTGGAGTGCTGTAACGAATTGGACCAACAACAATGAAGGCATTGCTTTTTCCGCAATAGAAAAGGCACGAAACCCACATCACACTTTGCCAGTTGCAGGAGTAAGCTGATCGTTTTGCGGGCTTACCACGGTGAAACAAAATAGCAAATTGTGCACGGATGCAGGGACTTTGTTGTACGATAACACTTCCTAGAAACTAACATTTCATCTGCGAATTAAATATTTCTTCCTTATGTGTCAGCGGTGTATTTCCAAATAAAGTGTTAAAGATTATCGTTTTGTGCTGTTTGAGAGATGTGTTTAATCTTACGTGCCCATTACAATATTTCTGCTCTGGCATTGGCTTGTGCTAAATTGTGCATGTGCTAAACTTAATCAGTTGGAGCAAATGTGTTAAACATATAAAGTCAACATTTTTTCTGTAGGAAAGTACACGTGAATTTGAAGTCGTAGTTACCAGATGCCGTTGACGAACAAGAGCATAATGTGCGTTTCACAAGCTTGGTGATGGAGATGTGTGCCTTGAAGGTGCTAGAGTCAATGAGAACCCAACGTCATCGTCAACGACCCACTGGAGTCTCCCTCTCGAAGGTGCCTAATGCAAAGTGCATCGAGAGCTTGCAGAAAAACCAGATGAACAAGTGACAAAAGTTCCAGATCATTCCGACTAAGGGTGAAAAAACTCGACAAAGTTATGTTGCATAAAATAAAATTAACGGAGAACAAATGGACATTATATATTTTAATGGCAACTGGATAGGTTCACCGCCCACAACAACGAAGTGTTTCGCACAGGAGCTATTACTCTTCATGACAGATAAGCCCGTGGGCGTCCATCAGCCGAATACGACGAGGACCTTGATAGAATCGAAGGCAACAAGAGAAAAACGGCTTCACAGATTTCAGATTTTAACACTCGCGAAAGAGATTCGTCACAACGGAGTCTCTTTCTTCTCTCATTTCGAATGTGCTGGAAAGTTGGAAATGTTCAATAGAGGAGTTCTTGACGAAAGAAACGAACAGAAAAGTAAATAGCAAATATGCCCAGCGCTTCTTTGCACGGAAGAAACGTTCTGCGATTAAAAAAAGTGAATTCCAATCGACCACCGGCAATGTTAACACATCAAGGCTTCCGAAAGGCGAACTTGCACCAAAAAAGGTTATAGTGACAATTTGATGGCCCACAATTCGATTAATATGATAAATACTGTAATGTAAAGAATGAAATAGATCGAAAATCGAAAGTTGTTCAAATTGCACAGCAGAAAACAGCTACATGTATTAGAGTTGTTAATGGGGTAAAAAGAGCATCACCACGGATNTAAAATAAAATTAACGGAGAACAAATGGACATTATATATTTTAATGGCAACTGGATAGGTTCACCGCCCACAACAACGAAGTGTTTCGCACAGGAGCTATTACTCTTCATGACAGATAAGCCCGTGGGCGTCCATCAGCCGAATACGACGAGGACCTTGATAGAATCGAAGGCAACAAGAGAAAAACGGCTTCACAGATTTCAGATTTTAACACTCGCGAAAGAGATTCGTCACAACGGAGTCTCTTTCTTCTCTCATTTCGAATGTGCTGGAAAGTTGGAAATGTTCAATAGAGGAGTTCTTGACGAAAGAAACGAACAGAAAAGTAAATAGCAAATATGCCCAGCGCTTCTTTGCACGGAAGAAACGTTCTGCGATTAAAAAAAGTGAATTCCAATCGACCACCGGCAATGTTAACACATCAAGGCTTCCGAAAGGCGAACTTGCACCAAAAAAGGTTATAGTGACAATTTGATGGCCCACAATTCGATTAATATGATAAATACTGTAATGTAAAGAATGAAATAGATCGAAAATCGAAAGTTGTTCAAATTGCACAGCAGAAAACAGCTACATGTATTAGAGTTGTTAATGGGGTAAAAAGAGCATCACCACGGATCGCTCTCATATGAGTGATCTCGGGGCGGTTAATCGCGAGGCTACGTGGCGCGCTCCCATGTGGCGGATAGAGGGTTAATCGCGGACCAAAAGCGACCTTCCCTTCTCTGAGACGCAGGTAGAACCAGGGTATGGACTCCCTGTTTCTGCAGCGCTGATTTGGCACATACTTTCTGTATTTGCTAAGCTTATTCATGCATACGTGTGGCTCCACGTTCAGAGTCCAGCAAACTACACGTGGGTATTAAAAGTGCTAAACATTCCTCTGACCTCATTCCTCTGACCCAAAAGAGCCTCCAATTTCGCAGCGTCGGGTAGAACGAAAACGCAGAGGCTGCTAAAATTTCAGTGCCATGGGAGCCACCTGGATTTCAAAGAACTACGGTGACGATCTGTACCTACAATCCACGTACACTTGCATCCGAGTCTTTGATAGAAGACTTCCTCATGCATGCAGGAAGGATAAAGTACGACGTCATCGGCCTGGCCGAGACGAGAGGACGCCACCCATTCAACACCGCCAATGACAACGGAGAAAAACTGAGAGGAGTCGGCCGCGTCGACGATGTCATCAACGAGAGCTTGTCCATGAACATCGATTCATTTAAACAATTGACAACCCGAAACGCACATATATGGTTAAAAAGACGTGGATTAATTCCGGCTTTGACAACCTTCGTCTTTTACGAGCCGATAGCAAACTATGACGAAGAAGAAGTCGAAGCACTCTATATGGACTTGGAGAAGTTCCACACAGATGACCATACATTTTTTCAATACAAAGGTCTTCACTGAGGATTTTAAGGCCAAGATCGGACCGAGGAAAATGTCTGAAGAAGGTCACATTGAAGCCCACGGATTACAATGGTACGAATAGGGTGAGCAGCTCTCTGAGTTTATCATAACCACCAAGACCATCCATGGTAAATCGAAATTCCAGAAGCCCCACCTTCAGCGCTAAACGTGGGAGTCACCCAATGGAAAGCACATAACGAAATAGACCTCATCATAGCGAACAAAAAGTTTTGCCAAGCCGATGCCGCTTTTGTCCCAAAATTCTACACGGGATCAGACCATCGCCTCCTTCTTGCAAGATTCTATTTCTCGCAAAAAAAGAAAAAGCCGCTAAATTCCAAAACCGAAGCCCAGAACCACCGCCAACTGGGACTTATTCAATTCACTAGTCCAGAAAGTCAACCGAAAAAATCATTCACTCATACTACTCGGATCGCTTCGATAGTCACGTCCACCTTCCGTCATATGAAATAAAGGAGGATGGATATGTTGTACCACCAATTCTCCCTTACGAAATCCGACATGCCATTTCGTTAGTGAAAAATCGAACGGCACCAGGTCCGGAGAGGATAAGGCCAGAACACCTGAAGAACCTTCCGCCAGTCCTAGTAAACACATTGGCTCTGTTCTTCACACGTTATCTGTCTGAATGCAAGGACTCTACTCAGTGGAAGACCAGCAAGCCCGTGTTGTTGTTTAAAAAATGTAACCTACACGATATCGGCAAGTGTCTCCCAATCTGGTTACTGTCTGTCGTCTACAAACTTTTTACTCGGGTCATGCCGTGTGAACAACCTGAGTTTCGAAGAGGATTTAATACGATGGACACACGGCCCACATGGTAACGCGGCTTATTGAAGTATCGCGAGAGTACAAAAGACCGCTCTGTCTCACTTCCATCGATCTACAGAAGACTTTGATTCAGATGAGATAGAAGCAGTCTTGGAAGCCCTTGATAGTCAAGGAGTCCCTACTCAGTACATAAAGATTCTTCGTGAGCTGTGCAAAAATTTCACAACATCGTCCTTATAACACCGAACATTAATCAAGCAGAACGTATGCTTGACGACTTTAATAAAGCCTTTGGAAAGATTGCTCTTCGACTAAATCTCACAGAAACGATGTTCATAAGGAACGGATTGGTTTCGTATCCCACATTCACGCTCAATGGAACAAATATCTCCGAACGCTCCAGCTATGTCTATCTAGGTCGCGATATCAATATGATAAACGACTTAGCACAAGAGGTGAGCAGAAGGATACGAGCGGCCTTGGAAGCTTTCAAGAGCATCGAGGATGCAGTGAAGAAAACAAAGCACACCCGACTCTGTGCCCAGCCTTTCGACCCAACCGTACTTCCTGCCCTAACCTATGGATCAGAAGCCTGGTCGCAGCGTAAGCAGGATGAAAGATCACTCAGCGTTATCGAACGCGCAGTCGAAAGGACGACGCTAAGAGTATCCCGTTCCACACAAATAAAGGATGGGATCCGAAGCTCCGATCTGCGTCAACGATCAAAAATCAAAGATGCCGTTCTGTACGCCAGACAGTCGAAGGCAAGGTGGGTCAGACACGTAATGCGTGTGAGTGACAACCGATGGACAAGAAACTTTAGTAACTGAATTCCTTGGGGTTTCATACGTATTGAAGTAAGGCCACCGACCCGATGTTTAGAGTTCTTCGGAAAGAGTCTTGAAGAAAGATATGATGCTCGACGAGTCCCTAGAGCGTGCAAAAACCACTGGGCTACCTTTGCACGCGACAAGAAAATTGGAAGATTTACTGGCGCCCGCTCGAGTGACTCGGCGACCAACGGGACTATTGGTGATACAGGTGATATACACATACATATACATACTTAACACCTATGAATAACTACGGTAGCATTGGGGTTTTATGACGCTTTCGGTGGCTGTCTATGGAACAGTTCAGTTCGAAATTCCGTGTAACTCTACAGCCAGTACTGTTCTGGCAAAATTGGAGATATCTGCAAAAGAGCAGTAAACACACATCTGTAACCACTTTCGCTGGGTTGACTGCTCGGGTCATGGTGTTCCCTTATGCGGACCTCATTTCTGTGCATGTGCTTGAACAAACTCAGGTGTTTCACATTAGCACTAGTAGTGATATAAATTATTACGTTACTTTGTTCCAAAATAGCACAGAAATTGTGATCTGCCAATTCATTTCGACCGTTGTTTTTGTTATTCTTTTTAAACGTTTCAGTTTCTCTTTTTCAGCTCCCAATGACTATCTGAAAAGTGGCTTCAGAGTTTTCTAAAACCGGCATAGCTGATCGGTTGTTCATCAAACTTCTTCAGAAAGGCAATATTTTGCAAAATTTTTATTTTTTAGTTGGAACAACTAATTTTGAGTAACCGTTCATCAGTTTAGTAGCCTAAGGTTTATCTTTTCGAAAAAAGCAAACGAAAAAAGCGGTTGGTCAAGCCAACTGAAAATAGAAGCTCGTTTTTTTTCAGTGTGTGCAGATAGCGCAGTTGGTAGATGTGCCCTGTTCTATCCCGTGCTCCAAGCACACCAAACCTTCCATCCGTCCGAGGTCGGAAAATTGGCGCAAGATCTATCTGGAAGACGACACCATTGACTCAATGGTTAGGCCACCCTGTGTTAAGGCACAGGCCAGATATGCGTTCAGTTGCCTTTAACGACAGATGATGAAGCCCAATGGATGGCGCATTCGTCAAGGATTGATCAATGCAAAGAGCTTTACTGTTTTTATTTTCATCCATGAAAAAATCTAAATTCCCTTTCGCCTCCAAGTTTTAGGAAAAAAATAAAAAAAAGAAAAAATAAAAAGTGAAAAAATGTAAAAAGTGACGTAACTTGTTGGAATTGCTCAAAGAAGATCGGCTCTATTGTTTATAAAACCACAAGGATGACCCATCAATAGTATGATAAGGTCGAAAGTTGTGAAAAGAAGTGTACAAACACTTCGAACGCAACATTATCATTTGACGCGAGCCTAAAAACCTCTTTCCTTCACTTCGTTGTTTGACAGTTGCTATTCGAAAAGCCGGACGATTTCATAGGTATCCGAATCCTGGAAAGGCAACCGTATTATGTTCTTCCACATTCTGCTCTACAAACAATCGTCGGTTTACCTAAGCTGCAGTGAGCCATGCCGGTTTGACTACTGCTTTCCAAGAAGTGTGAATCTTGTGGTGTCAGCCTGTCACCAAACGAAAAAAAGGTGGACGACAAACTCGTGAAAAGTTTTTACATGATCTGTGGGAAATCATTGTCTCCAATTTTGATTTTCTCACAAACCCCGCTATTCACCGCTCAGGTCAGTTCCTATCGCACAAATATTTCTGCACTTATATTTTTGGTCAACACGTCATCACGAATGGTGTGAGTCCTATGCATTGTGTTAAATTTTTACAAAAACGTTAGCGATGCAAAGAAAAGAGCCTGACAGGAAGAACTGAGACCATCAAAACTCTTCACCATCTATTGCAAAACTGGAAAATGAGAGTGAGAGCTAACGGCTGGCAGTCACACAGGAAGCTATCGCACAATGATGAGTTAAAAGGAGCATTTGATGTATTTGACTGTGTTCGTTAATATGATCAGCTGAATCTAGAAAACAGTGACCGTGGATGCGAATTGATGCTCTAATCATATTCGACGGGTCGTCACCAAACGCGATGCTGATAGTGATACCGACTACCGTGTGATGCATTTTTCATAAAAACAGGTTGTTATCATCAGACAATCATATCAACAGCAAACGTCCTGTAGAAAACAGCGTCGTAGCTACCGAGTCTTCGAAGATTTTTGGAACCCTTGAAGCTCCTAGAGTTGTGAGTCACCTTCAAACTGTTGGCGCTCCAAAATGGTTTTGAAGAGTAGCTGAGAGGCAGGCGAAACGAAGGACCCGAATGGTGTGGCGGTGAACCCGTTGCTCCCTGGAAAGTGCAATAGCGCGTTCGTTCCCCACCGCAGACACCTTCGGTCCAGAGCTTTGCAAATATCTCAGCATTATAGTAGTTATATTTCGCAGCATATGCTTCTGATGCTAAAGAGAATAAGCAGTAAATGAAAAGGTTAAGGTTATGAAGAGTGTTGAGATGTGGACGACAGTGCGATATGTTGCTGTCAAGGAAACAAGAAAGTGTTCGAGTTTTTTTCCTTCAATAGTTTCTACGAACCTTCTTTCCATGGCTTAGGTACATGACCTCTCTTAGTCACCCAATCTCTTCTAGATGCATGACGGGTCCATTGCTTCTAGCTATACCTAATCTCTGTCGATGACTCCGTTATAGAAGTATTCTGAAGTTGGTGGTCTTTTCCGATTGCTGATTGTCCATTCTTGATTGCACATGAGAAATGTATGCGTTCCTGTTGTACTTTACGAAATGTTATTCTTGTACCACGTTGACTGCACTGGGCCCTCATTTAGTCTTCTATCCAGCCCCGGTGGATGATGTAATGCATACACGGTCAGTGTTTCCAATTCCTCTAGTAGTTTTCCGCACAAAAACCGATTAGGAGCTCTAGAATCTGTGATGACCACATGCGGACGCCGTAGTAGTGTTATCGCCTCATTCGAGAAAAAAGTTACGTTCGATAAGCAATTGTTTCAGTATCTCAGGAAGGAAAGAAACTCCATTTCGTCAAAGCCAACTTCTCGCAATAAGCGAACCACTTTTGCAGTTACGAGATAATATAAGCAATGAAAAAAGCCACTGTCGTCGTGGTGAGCAAACTCAAGGTTCTTGCTGAAGCAGTTATTCAAATAAAGAATTTACCTCAAGTCCTTTAACAGCGGGTCACTATAGCGAATTAGCGAATACCTCAATATTACTTCCTCGTTCAACAGATGAAGTGGCTGATTAAAGCACGCAATGGTCACATTAACACAAGGAACACCTGATTCACAATGTGCAACACGAGATTTTTGTGGTGCACTTGGGAGCGTGTAGCGCAGTAGTTGGAGGCGTCCTGCAATAGACATAGGATCGATTCCTGCGCCATATTTTCACCAAGTCATCCATCACTCGAGGTCGGTAAATGGGTACCAGACTTGTCTGGGGGGATAGCAACACTGGCTCGACAGATCAGAAGGCAGCTAAGAGTATCGTGAAGGCCAGTTATGCATTCAACAGTGCTTGATAAAGTCGAATGGACGACGCACACCTCAAAGATTAATTAACGTCGAGAGCCTTATCCTTATGTACCAGTGATATACCGTTTAATTCTGTCTTTCCAAGCTAAATCAAAAGCGCCTATCTATGTGAACAAGAAACTTGGTAAACTGTGAAGGATTAGATTTAGACGGTTTTGAGCGCCGCTTTCAAAAGTCGCAGTAAGAATTGTCGGAATGAGGGATAAAAGCTGTTTCCAAACATGAAACGCGATAATTCACATTGGTAACCAAGTAGTTTGCTGATACTCAGCGATTTCTAAGCACTCATTCCGATTTTGGTCGCATCAACTACATAATTATTACATTCTAACACGTACTGACTGGACAGTTTATTTTTTTAATATGGAATATATTTCCCGAAGTCCTGTGTTTTAGGGTGTGTAAGCGCGAATTGAACTCGTCCATTTTTACACACACACTACACCACGGACTACTGCGCTACACACGCTCTTATAAATAGTAAGACAAAGAAAAACTATAAACCTACTAAAATGAATGCGGACACTATATGCTCCATAATGAGTGTTATAGGCTAAAGAATGCATGGTGTTTTCTACAGGACCTCTCCAAGTTTATATAGAATGCCTTGACTTCGTCTTCACCGTAGTTTGCTGTCGATGCGTAGACGACGAAGTCTGTCAAGGCCACTATTGACCCACATCTTTTCAGCCATTAAGGTAACATTCGGGTTGTTAGTTCCTCGAATGAATCAATGTTTATGCCCAAACTCGTGCTGATGAAAACGCTGATGCAGCGAACGTTGACGCAGACGACTCCTCACTGAAATGAATGCGGACACTATATGCTCCATACTGAGCCCTGTTGTCGCATTTTCCGAGGAACAGCTCATTTCCGGTATCATTGCCGAAGTCAAATGAACGGCGAATTCTCTTCTTATCCAGTTTGATGATTTCGTACCTTATCGTTTCTGCCTGCATGATGAAGTTCTGCATCGAGGACTTTGCTGAGAGTGAACCTGCATTGTTGTAAAGATCGCCCCTTAGTGGCAAAGCTAGGGTTAAAAACTTAGCGTAGAGAAAGGCAGAACAAGGGCCTCTGTGGTGTAGTGGGTAACACGTGATCCTGAAAAAGTAGTCAAGGGTTGGAATCTGGGTTAAGGTCCGAGTTTTGCAATTATCTCAGCATCACTGTCGCTGTACTTCACATAATACCCTGTTTTGGAAAAAAATGTAGAAGATAAATAAAAATTTAAACGTCATTCTAGTCTCTAACGATTTAAGCAGCCTGGAGTGGCTCAGAGAGTTAAGGAGCCTCTCCGTACTTATTCTACTCAGCACCACCGAATCGAGGAGTCGTTCGTTGTCACGGGAGCGGTCACTACTTATTTTAGTGTTTGGCATATGATACACACTAAATGCTTGCAGAACTCAAAACTTATTTGCTGGATATACTCAAGGGTAGCTTTCATGAAAAATTTGTTGCGGGCGACCT